AGTATTTCTTTTGAAATGACCAGAAAAATATACTTGCAGAACTGCCAACAGTTTTACAGTTTACTCACTCAAATTCAGTGGAAGAAGAATAACCTTTTCTGTAGACTCTTGCATTTATCCTGCATAATTATTTCTAAAACACCCGTATAACAAATTACAGTATCTTGTTTGATTACAGTATATTGATTTCTAGGACAGCCTCTCCAAGTTTGAAGTTGAATCATCCAAGCTACCCCTGACTCTCAGTATCTCAGTATTGCACATTTTCATTCTTCCTGCAACAAATAATTTTGAATTTCAGGATACATTTGAAATACAAAACACCCGGGATGCATTGCTTTAAAGTTGCAATTTCTTAGCTAGATATATATAGACCATGTATAATCTAATACAAGACCCCTTAGTCTGTTCCATTTCACGATTTGTGTACAGTTGACTTAAATCTAATGAACATATCTTAGAAAACAGATGAATGAGTTAATTGAGGAGGTGACCGTATTCAGGGAAGAGATTTGCTGAGGTAATGTTTGTGACTTCTGCTATTCCTTTTTGGCTGGAAGTTCATACTGCACACCCGGGTCAGAAACAAGACAAACATCTTGTTTGTAGGGATGAAAAAAATCAATCCAAGGGTTCCCTGCATCACTTATTGCATTGACTGCAGACTGCAAAGCTTTGTGCTTTTTTCAGTAACATGTTAGGAAGTAATCACTTTAGAATAAATGATGATTTAGATGAGACTTTCAGTCTTGATGTGTACATTGGACATGGCTTTCCGGGGAACCCAGCACTGTGCTAAAACATTGCACATCATGAGCCTTCAGCTCAGTCCTCAAAATCCCCAGACAACCACTACATCACATAGTTCTGAAAATGTGCAACATGTTAATTGGAATTAAGTAAACCCGTGTTAAATTCAGATTTGGAATAATCTGAATACTTTTTCCATACTATGGGTCGCTTAATTAATCTAATTGCTTGATTATTGATTGATTCATCATTATGACTTGCAAGTGTTTCCAGTCTTTAGGAAAGGGCAATATAGGGTGACATACAGTATAACACTGGCCGGGAGAGGACTGCTATAGATTTTCGTTATTTGTATCAATAATCCATAGATGCATTCAAATAGAATTGTAAAGGAATAGGTTCTGTTTAAAATCACAAAGGAAAAGAGTTTTGATGCAAAATAACTAACTTCATTGCTTGGCTCTCCTCCTCCCCGATAGTTGGTGTGTGGCAAGTGTGCCGGCACAGTCTGGCTGCTGTCGCATCACCCAAGTCGGCTTCAGGACAGAATGTGATGTGTGAGGTTAACTACCACAGGGGAGTGAATTATGAGAAAAGGCATTTTGCTTCTGCCCTTCTCTCCCTGCGACTGTAGTTTCCTGATCTTGACGTGACAGGCCTTTGTGTTAGTGTGTGAAGCCTCAGCTGTACTGCCCGTTCAGACCCGTTAACATGATCTGGACAGTGGGGCAAATGTGGTAGAAGCTGAAAGTACCGTGTGTTCAATGCACCAGCCAATGTCTGCTTCCTGGAGTGTGGAGTCACTGAAACCAGTCCAGCCCACTGCTGTGTGCGAGAGGATCATCTTAAATCAGGTGCTCAAACAAAGCTATTCTGCTATTGTCTGATAATGTGAGATTGCACAGCTCATGGGCAGCTCAGAACATAAAAATAACGATCTGAAACACCCTTGTAGTGCTATCCTGCAATCCACTGACAAATCCAAGTGATGCTCATCTCCTTAGACATTAGTTGGTGTTTGAAAAGGTTGCCATGAAAAAACTTTCCCAGGCCCACTGATGTGGCTTCTGTATGGTGAACTGTGGCCTTGGACAAAGATAAACATTTTGGGCAGCTGCACACATAGTGTCAGTATGTTCTTGGACCTCAGTGTGCTGTACTCATGCCAGTAGGGTTTAATTGCCCTGGTGTGAATTGGAGTGTAGAGACAGTAGTTCCCAGTCTGGGTGGCAATCCTAGGAGGTCCTCACCACATCTGGAAACGCATCATTTCAGGAGGCAAAAATGTATCCTCTTTTGCAAAAATAAATGGAAAGGCTTAAAAAGACAATGTTTACTCATAAGAAAGAAACAATTATTTCATTAAATTGATCTAGCTTTTTTGGATAACAGTCATGTGGAAGTTTGGAAACAGAAGGCCAAATTATATACTGAATGAAACATACTGTGTGCTTGAGTACATCCAGACATTAGTACATTCCTTTTTTTCCCCCATTTATTTAACAATGTGTGTGTTGTAAATGGTTTGTTTAAGGTGTGAAGTTTCTCTACATCCCAGCAGGTATTTGGGTTAAAAATTCCAGCTGTTTTATTACCTGCCTTTATCATTATTGTGAACAGCAGGAGATGTGCAGACAACATGAGGTATTTCCCTTTCATGAAAAGACTTTTATAAGCCTGTGTTTGCTGTTTTATTTTTCATAAAACCTAATTAAGAAACAGCCTCTATGGCCTGCAGCCAGTCAGTATGAAAATGTACTGGTTTTGTTGTGTTGCAGCGGAAGACTGTGATGTCCTGTCTTCCTGAGAAACCAAACCACTCTGAAACCATAAGACTGTAGTCAAAGAACCCACAAGTTTAAATAAGAGCTCTCTGTAATGATTTATACACTGTTCCATTCAAAGGTATGGAATACTGAATCCTTTTAGCCTGGAACAGAGAAGATTATGTGGAGGCTTGATAGCAGTATTCCAGATCCTGAAAGCCCTTGGCCAAGTTAGCTCTGGGAACAGAAGACAATTCTTTACATAGGGGGTTAGAATATCTGAAATTAACTCCCTGAGCTGTTATTGAAGCGGACTCTGTGGGACCCTTTAAGAAACAGCTTGATGGAAGTCTTGGATCATTAAGCTTCTTTCAACTAGATGAGTAAGATGGGTTGAATAGACTCCTTTCGTTTGCTTTTATGTCCGTATGGACTGAGATGCTGAAAGAACGGACAGTTTGGATAGGAAAAAGCAGAGCAAAACGTTTCAGAAGAGCCAGAAACGTTAAGCGTTGCCCAACAGACAGATCTGACATGGGTGAAAGATTTCTAGGCTTTTTGTTGTCTTTTCAAAGGACCATTTAAAGATCCTGACATATTTCCTGAGTCCTCTGTGTGTGTGTGCGCTAGGCCGAGATGTGGTTTAGGGTGACAGGTTTTTGGTGGGTACTCAGTGAGTTTTTAAGGAATGTTCTTTGGTAGTCTTCTTAAGCACATTCACGGCTGCAGTCCCCTCTGAAATCATTAATTCGCCTTCCCTGCATTAGTGATTAATATAAACAGAAGCCCCAGTGCCAAAAATGTAGATGAGCTATAATGAATCTAATTTCCTTCCTATTACCATTTTTTCTTTAACAGCAGGCTGTCTGGAAAAAAGGTAATGTGATAATTTTTGGAGCATATAGCTCCTAATTGGTAACAGACTTAAACCCCAGAGACTACCTCACACCACCTTGTTGTAATAAATGTTATGTTGCCAGGTCTGAACTTCAAAACCTTTTTTTCATTTTGCTTTGCTAATGTAACATTCTGCCCAAATATTCTACCTTGTTTAGATGTGTTATCAAAGTTACTCACTCAGGCCCACGTGAGTAAAGAAAACACCTGCCCTACACATGTCAAGTGTGGGATCTACTCATGACCCTGATCACAGAAAACTACTGCTTTAAAATCTTACTCTTTAATAGTCTAATAAACTAAAAAATACACATGAAACCGGTTTGGACATTTGTGCACTGCTAAGTGTTGTCTCAGTGGCTCTTGTGTGCTGATGTGCGAATGCAGTAATAGCTGTTTTCCACAGGTCCTGTGTGTAAAAGTACCTGACTAAAGCCACTGTATCTCTCGGTGTTGTATCTGCACTGTGCTTAAACATTAACCTGGAAAAAAGTTTTTTTTTTAAACTTATTTTGTAATGTTGCACCTGACCTCTACTACAGGGCTGCTTGGGTATAGCACAAAATTTAAAGACATTTCCTTCCAGCAAAAAAAGGCATGACAATGGGGTAGATCTTCATTGGTATTTTTAAAGGAAATCCAGCCATTTTTCTTTAGTCGTACTTATCTTGTGCTCAGTCGGTCACTAGTACAAGCATATAATTCAGACGTGTTTAATGTTTAACAGAGTCTTAGAGGCAGACTTATAAAAGTTATACGACCCTATAATTATTGTCACATTGTGGATGTATAATCAAGCCATGATTTGCATGAGTAACAACTCTACAGTTTAGCTTTAGTGTATTGTATCTTGGGCGTATCTAATACAACTACAAGAACTCAGAAGATATTCTGTAAATCTAGTTTATCATATAATTGCATGATTTAGGTTTCCTTTCATTGATTGCAGAACCACATATGTCTGCATTTTAAGAGTTTTAAAACTTTTTTTTTCTTTTCAGCGTGGAATTAAACAATACATATCCTTTAGCAGATGTATTGCTTGTTCCATCAGTATATGTTGCTTTGTATTGTGATTTAAAAATCCAAATGGGCAGAACCATTAAAATGTGACTTTCTGGGGGGGGAGGGTGCTGGGTTCTCTCCTCACCTGATTTGCACAGAGGGACTGTTGAACCTTTTTCTGCTCTGTGGGATCACCACCAGTGTTCTCTGCCCACATTGCGTTATAAGCGAGTTTCTTTTCTTTTCCTCATTATTAATACTTTCTCCACCTTTCTTTTACTAGCTCAGCTCCATTTGTCTTGCATCATTCTTCTATTTCTTTGTCCTGAAAGAATCCTGCGGTATCAGTCCCAGCATCGTGGCTGGGGAATGTATACTGGACTCTAAAATCTCCGTGTGAAGACAAGTTATCGGTCTGTAATGTTTCTGAACATACTGTAGTGCAAAGGGCACTTATATCTTTGTTGATTTTGAGCGGCACTTACAGTATACTGTATCCTTTGTAATAACATAACTGTCTGTGAGGCTAAAAGGATTTGGTTTTCTCCCTCCTAACTGCCTGCCCCCTCCTCTTCTTTCCAGCTGGGAGCAGCGTGTCCTCCCCAATGGCAGGATCTACTACGTCGATCACAACACCAAGACCACGACCTGGGAGAGGCCACTGCCACCAGGGTGAGTCATGCCAATGGACGCCATGATCAAGTCCCCCTTGCCAGCACGTCTGTGAATGAGTTATCATGTGATAAATGTTTAAGACGGGCGTTGCACGATAAATTATTACATACTGTAGGCCTCATCACATACCAGTGTCAAAATACTTTAATTCTGTGTGTGGTCCTGCATTGGATACTAATGCTGCACTGATGTACAGTAAGTTAATCCCATTGGAATGTGTAGTTACTGATCACAATTACGTTTCTGCTATGCGCAAAGTAAAATAAGCATGATGTTCTACAGTTTTCTTAATAGAATAGTATAAAATCTGACCTGGCAGTATTAGAAAACAAATAAAAATGAATGTGCTCTTTTGATTTTTAATTGTGTACTCTAGTTTATGGCAAATATTGATAAATACCATTGATAGACACTGCTTAAACACATTTAATTCAGGTTTTGTGATACATTAATACAGTATGTTCTGCCTTTTTAAAAGATAGCTCAAACAAATGTCGTTAAGCCCAACTTTTTTATTGTAGGCAAAAGTTCAGCATCATTAGGCCAGTTTTAAATTAAATGATGATAATGTGGTAGTAATAAAAATTGTAACGATACTTTATTATCATTGACAAAACTATACTGACCCAATGTCTTATTCACTGAATGAAATTAGTTCTAAAGGAGACATTTCCTGTCTAAAATTAGGAAGAGACTCAACCCTTGTGTTCTGGGCTCCTAGAGTCTCTGTTGGTTTTTAGTTAGTCCTCTGGTCTGATTATTTTAACACAGATGGGGTTTTAGTCTACAAGAAATCATTCATCAGGTCCCGAGAAGGCCAAAACTGTCCCTTGGTTGACCCTTGGTGTCTGCTATTTGTCTGCACTGAGGTAGTAGAAACCATAAAGATACTACATGTTGTGCTCATGTATCAAATGGTGTATCATGTGCATATAATAGAACAGTAACAGAAAGGAATGTGAAGTGATTTTTCCTCTGAGGTCCTGCACAGCACATTGTGCTGTAATCTGCACAATAAAGCCGTCTGCTTGAGCTGGCAGCAGCAGTGCAGGGTGAGAACTGTGTTTTTGTGTCAGTGAGAGAGGAGAGGGTGAACAAAAAAATCTGTTCTGGGTTTTTAACCGCTTACAGAAAAATTCCCTGCATACTTTTCCTGTGTTCCAACAGCTTTGAAAATACCTGATTTCCAACCCAAGGCCTTTTATAGACAATGTTATTTTGGCTGGATCTAGGTGCTTCTGGTCCTGCCCTATTGCGTAGGATGTTCAGAGAAGACTCAGACTTGCACACTCAGACTTGTGCAATTGAAGGAACAGCCCTGGAGAAGAACAAGATGTCCAGCATAAGTGAAAAAAGATAACCCACTGAACTCCAGAAATGGACTTAGATTGATGACTGTTATTCCTGGTTTGAAACTACTCAGACCACAAAGTCCACAGAAATTAAATCGCAACTGTGACCTCCATCCCTCTTGAATAACACATTTAACAAAAATGGCTCCCTTGTTTTCTCAACACGTCTTTCTAATGCTCCGGCTTTACGAGAGGCAATTTTATGGTTGTGGCTTTAATTGTAATCTTCTGTTTGTTGAAAGTTTTCACTTAAAAAGGAAAGCAGTAAGACGTCTCCTCCTTGCAGCTGTCTGTCATTATGAGAGGGACCCGAGTCTATTTACAGTATATTCTCCAACATTGACTTCTGAGCAGCAGAACTTTACCTGTGCCAAAATGGTGTTTGTGTGTGTTGGAATTGCACACACACCACTGATCCACATTAACAGAAACGCGCTTCAAAAGCTGGGCAACCTAAACTCCTAGCCTCCTCAGCTCCTCAGTTAAAGGGGCCGGCATGCTGTCTGACTTTCTTGCAGTGTGGCGTGTGCGGTTTGTACAGTATGTCAGAATACTACTGGCCAACGAGTGGCCCTTGGAAACATAAGGGATTTCAAACAGGAAACAGATTCTCCATTTTGCAAAGACTAGAGATTTTTTAAAATTATTGGCCAATTAAGAAATAAGAAAGGATCTAATGGCCTTGCCGTTTCCTGCTGCTTTCTTTGCTGGGGGGCACTGTGGCCCTTCAGTAAGACTCAGGCCCCAGCTGTGGCCTCCACTGCCTGGAAAATACCTCGGTTTCTCTTTAATCAAAATGGTTATGTACTGTAGATCTCTTTTCTGTCTTGTCATTTGAAAATAGAATCTTGATTTAGATTGTTGTAGTAATCTATAAAATAAAATTCTGTTCAAGGCTATTAAATAATTTATTTTTCCGATGTCCTTTAATAACAGTTTATAAACACATTTATTATTGATATCAGATTGGCTTTACTTAACATTGTTATCCTACAGCATATTCTGTTGGTAGTATGGTTAGTATATTACTGTATTAACAATCAAATGACTTAGCTCACATCTAGAGGACTAATTGTTTGGACAGTGTCTGTAACCCCTTCCTACTACAAATGAACTCCTGTCAAATAACATGTTTTGAGGGAGTATTGCTAATTAGAGCAGACCAGGAGGAGAAATAAAATGGGACAGACAAATGTATTCTAGATGGAATTAGTTTGAAGTGTAACTTGCTTGTTGGCCAGACACATTTGTAATCTTTTGCCAAAAAAAAAAAGAGGAAATTACTAATCGTCTTGAAGTTTCATTTGAAGCCCAGAGAAGCACAGCCCTTCCAGACACACAATCCCCGTGCTCCAGCTCTCTTGAGGCTTGGGGGTGTGTGGATTTTTTGACAGATCAGGCCAGGGGAGCTGGATTTCTGTCCCCCCGGCTCTGCTGGTGGCGGAGGCGGTGCGTGGTGGGGTCTCCTCTCCTGCGCCGCGCCGCAGCAGGAAGGGATCGGCTCTGTGTCTCCGCTCACAGAGCCCTCTTAATTGGGTGAAATTGCATTGAAGGAGACCGAGAAGTTTTCCATTACCCAAGTTTTGAGCGTTAAAAAAAAAAATCAAATAAGCGGTACTCCCTCTCCACACGAAATCTCACTTTTTCCACTTTGGCGCGGCCCGCCTTTGTGTTTCTGTGAAGAACAAGAAACTAAATTAAGAACCCAGAACACATAAGCCCTTCTTTTATATCAGGGAGAGAAAGATCTCTGTGTTCCTTTTTCAAGTAGTAAGAACCGCCTTGTTGTAATATTACGCTGGCTATAAACCTGGGTCTTTGTTGAAAATGAATCTTGCGGTGGAGTACACTAGGCTTCACTGTGCTAGGAAGGCCAGGTAAGCAGAAAGCAGAAAGTGTCCTGTGTTTATTTTATTATATTCTTTAATTATTTCTGCTTATTTATCACTTGGAGGAATGCTTTTACCTCCACAGTAATAAATGTCCGCATTTCCAAATGTAACAAGATATTAAATCTTAACAAGATATTAAACAACGACTGAAATGAAATCCAAATTGTTAAAAGTGCTTTTCTAGTACTGGCTTGAATAGACGTGTTGAATTCTTAAAGAGTGCAATACTCTTTAAATGCTATGCAGTGCTTTAAATCTCCTGTGGATCCTCTCTGTAAACACTCTGTATGTTGCCAGGGGCTCCTCAAGGCCTGATTATGTCCAGAAACAACCTTCATTGCAACTTGAAAACAGTACCTCCTATCACACGATGAAGCCTGAATTTGCATACTGAATATGAATATGAAAACGAAAAGACACCACAGGCTGTTTTTTTTCCTCTCTTTTAAATAAAATAATGTAGAATGGAGACTAGGGGACCGCTTCACGTCTGAAACAGGCTTCACAGCCAGGTGGTTTCAGCCCAAACTCGGGGCATGTTGAAGGCGCATGCCCACGTCTTTTCCTCCGTCCTCAGTGGGCGCACACACCACTACTGGAGACTCTAGTGAGTCTCACGAAAACAGCAGGCGATTCCCACTCGGCTGGGTGTACAATACCATTGACCGTTCCAATGTCCGTTTTAAATGGGCTTTGGCAAAAGAAATAATGCATAAAGCAGTTTATTTAAAAATTCCCCTAGAGACAACACAGTTGTCCCACAGAATGCTTTTCTGGATGCCTTCTGAAAAATGTTTGAGGGGGTGTGCACAGTGTACCCTTAGCACAACACTTAACTACTGTACATGCGTCTCAAGTGGAAGCTATTTTGGATGATTCTGTAATTGTCTTTATTTTCCTACACACTCCATTTCATTTGTAAATGTTGCAGGAATAGTCTCACAATGTGGCAGTTAGCCTTAAGTAATCTTGCTGAAGATATTGTAATCTGGGAAATGTGAGCTTGTAAAGAAACAGAAAAGACATTTCTCATCTGTTGCTCTTTGTTGAGCATGGGGGGACTCAATGATCTCAGGATGAAGAACACACCTATGAGATACTGTTCTATAAAGTTACTTTTCCTGTTTTAATTCATAAACGCTCTCCTGTTTGGTTACTTGTGGTTATTTAATAAAAAAGGCATTTTAATTGTTTACTTTTATACAGTAGCTCACCTATTCCCAAACAGTAGTCAATTCTTTAGATCGCGTGATGCTTTAGGTTTTGGAGTCTTAGCAGTTGGGACCTTCTCTGAATGTTTAATTCTACAGTATTTTATACCATGGCTCTTAATAAAAAGCATGAAGAGCTTGGGTGGAAGAGCAGTAAGTAGCTGTCTCTCAACAGTGCCTCAGCTCCACATGGATTCAAAGGAGGCTCCATTACAAGATACTGACAATTCACTGGGGGGGGTCATGAAAAGGCCACCGTTTGTGAAAAGCGCTTCTCATTCTCAGTCGTGCTGTAAATGCACAACATCTTAATTTCCCCCTGGGCCCTGTCCATGTTTCATTGTTGATTCTGATGTAGTCCATCCATCCATTATCCAGCCACTTGGAAAATCCCACTTATCCCGGCAAGCTACGGGCGCAAGTCAGGATACATCATGGACAGGACACTAGTCCACTGCAGCGTACACACAGACATGCACGCCCACACCAGGGTCAGTTTTCCTAGAAGTCAGCTAGCCTCCCAGTATGTTTATGGATTGTGGGAAGAAACTGGTACACCTGGAGGAAACCCGTGCAAACATAGGGAGAGCATATTAACCCCACTCGGATAGCACCCCAGGGCTGGAGTTGAACTCGGGGCCCCAGTTCCGTGAGGCAACAACGTGACGCAAGCCTCTGCGCCGCTGTGCCGCCGCTGAAGTCATAAGAAGTACTCGTAGGACTGGCGATGTTCCCTGCTCGCTCGGGATCACTCGGGCAGTTGCTGATCAGTGTTGTCTTCTGTGTCTGTGGGTTTACCCCCCCCTCCTTCCACGCCGTCAGGTGGGAGAAGCGCGTGGACCAGCGGGGCAGGTTTTACTACGTGGACCACAACACCCGGACCACCACCTGGCAGCGGCCCACAGCCGAGTCGGTGCGGAACTACGAGCAGTGGCAGTCCCAGCGCAGCCAGCTGCAGGGGGCCATGCAGCAGTTCAGCCAAAGGTTCCTCTACCAGGTACGGTGTGCCCGCGGGAGGCGCCAGGGCGGCCCTGCCCTCAGACTGCCCCGGCGGGCGTTCGTCATGGCGGCGCCGTGCTGCTAGAAAACATGGGGTTTGGACTCGTGCAGTCAATCGGGATGAGAGCTCTGCAGAGGACAAAGATAAATTGTTACAAAAAGTAGAGGGAAGCTGTAGTAATAAAAATGGCTACCATCCACGTTTAAGCGCAGCAGTGACAAAATAGTTTATTTATATTAGATAACAGTAGTTTGTTCAAGGGTACGCTGATTCTTCTGGGAGTCTATATTTAATTTTTTTTTTATCACTAGACCTGCCCTTTCCTTGGTTGGGTCAGTGCTGCTGGTTTTGTGAGTTTCTCTTTCAGTAAGATTTTCATTCTGTGCTTACTCAGCAATGACTCTATAGAGAGGAGCAATCATTTGCTCTTCTCAATATTGAAATGTCCTTTTTCCTTATTTTTTTTAAAAATCCCTTACTTAGAAAAGATTACTTTAATATCTTCACATTCCAAGCACTGCAACAACCAGGCAGTAGGTCAGTGGGGTAAGACTGTGAAATCACGTTTTCCTGTGAAAGTACAAATTAAGTAAAACATTCAGGTGAAGTCAGGTTTTTAATTCGTATGCATGTGGCTATCCACAGCCATTATGATCTTAATGTCACAATCACAACACAATATGCTATCTGACAGCGGTGTTCCACATTCAGCATTAATGTAGGCCAAGAAATCAGGCAAGTTAAGATACTGTATTAGTCTACTGCATGCTAGTCTCTGTTTTAGTGAGTATGAGCTGCCAAGTTCTAGTTTTGAGAATGACAGGACTTAACTTTAACACAGATAGGGTCTTATTTAACTAAATAAGCTAGTGTAAACTGCATCTTTGTAGAATCTTTTTTGTGTTGGTTCAGCCTTTTGGCCGATTTGGCTGTTTTGTAATGTCCAGCTGTGGGAAGTGATCTGGTTTGATACATTTCTATCAGAAGCTTCCATTTTGTACACATGGTACTTTTCCATTCTGAGTAACAAATGTTGCAAGCTAGTTGTTGCTCCCACCTAGGTAATTAAATTTGGTAAGTATTGTGTGTATATATAGAAGAAACAATTTCTGTTGACTCTTTTAGATTTAAAAAAGGTATTTCAGAACAGAAATTTAATGGGTTGGTCATAATTGTTTAAATTAGTTTGCAATTAAGCCTCCTAAAATAAGTGGACAGAGGTGTGTAAAAACTCAGTGTGGGTGTGAAGGGTGGATTGCATTGAGCACGTAGGAGGTCATGATTAGAGTTTTCTCCAAGTGCCCTGCAGTAGTACAGTAGTTCTTTTTATACACTTTACTTAAATCCAGATTTAGATCTGTTGCTCCTGTGCTCTTCCTTCTGTGTTTTATATATTTGTTCACTTAAAGATCATCTTCACAGCTCAGCTGTTTGTTTGGTTCTGTAACTCTAACCAGGAGCATTGTGTTGTGTTCGACTTCTCTCCTACTTTTCTTCTTTTAAGTAAAGAAGTTCATTTTTCAATTTAACCCCCCTATTTGGTTGGCCCACTGGAAGAACGCCGTCCTTAGCTACAACCCACATGTCAGACTAAGAGGAAAGAGAGTCAGTGGGTGTTCCTCAGTCTTGCCTTCATTTGAATAGGAGTGCTATATCACAATATTTGAAATTCTACTAGTCATCTCGGAGTGTTATACTTAGCTTAAATCAAAGTATTACCATCACAAGCCAGATCCAAAAAGGACTTTCATCAAACCTGAGATCAAAGGCCATGGAAATGTCCTCTTTAGGAAGTATCGCTTCCTGGTGCTGGTTAACTGTGGGACAGGTTAGTTTTGGCCTTGGTCTATTTTATTCAGACTATGGGCTGTTTGGCTCAAAAATCTGGTCAGCAGTTTAAGCAGAAATAGCTGCACAGGGTGGTTAGATCCTGAAGCCCAGTGCTGTCCAAATTTGATTTTACAATATCCATCTACAGATCTATTAGGCCTATAAAATCCAAGAAAAGGGCAGAGGGCTCTGTGGCTCAGGATCTGCGCCTGTGGCTGGAAGGTTGCCGGTCCAAATCCCGCAGCCGGCAGAGGAATCCTACTCCGTTGGGCTCCTGAGCAAGGCCCTTAACCCCAACTGCTCCAGGGGTGCTGTACAATGGCTGACCCTGCACTGTGACCCCAGGCTTCTCTCCCTGTCTTTGTGTCTCATGGAGAGCAATCTGGGGTATGCGAAAAGATCATGCCTAATGCAAGAAATTGTAAAGGGTTAATAAAGTGAAGTAATTTTTATTTAAAATTGGCAAAGGAGGCTAACTGTTGTTGAAAGACAATTCATCAATACTCTGATTTTCTGAAGGACTGTAATTTTAAAATGACTATGAAATGATAAGACTGTCTGGGGGTCTTCACTCTGCTGAGAATCCTTGATTAGAATGATTCAAATTATCTCAAAACCAAAATTTAAAAATAACGAACGGCGTTGGTAGTTTTACGTTAACGAAGTTTTGATTGCTGCAGTACATTTTTTGAAAGCTCAATAAACTAAAAAATGTGTCCGTTCTCAAAAATGTGCACTATATCCAAGTGTGACTCGAGACGGAAAGGTGTTATAACCTACTTCTTGAACACATGATCCATTTTCAACCCACAAAACACAAGCCTGCATTTAGGTTTCCACAACAGGTTCCCAGCCTCTGCTCAGCAAGTAATTTCCATCTTTAAATGTGGCATCGGGAGCATAACATGTAAAATCACTGAAATCACCAGACTTGAGTTCTTCCCTTCTTTAACAGGATAGTAGACTTCAGTTTTTATGCGCTTATAACTTTTTAATGACTTCTCCATTTTATTGTGTTTTTTGTTTAATTTTGCCCTTTAATGTCTTCAGACATTTTACAGGTTTCCTCTGTAGGCCCAACGATGTAGATGGACTGAATGGCTCCTTCATAACCTTTTTTTTTTAATCTCCTTAAGCTCATAGACCATTGTTTATTTAACATTTTCTTTTTATTTTCCTTTGCAAAGTCATATCACTTGCATATTCTTCTCTTAAATGTGGAAACACAGGAGTAATGTCAGCATGGTGCCTGTCAAAAATGTGCTCTTTCGTCATCCCCTCCTTTTTTGTGCCACAAACCCATAGGAAACGCAGCAGCAGAGCTGGAACATTACAGCAGAGAACAGTATCCTTTCTTTATGGCTTTGGGCTCAAATATTTCTTATGCAGGGTTGCGGTTAGACCTTAACAGTACCTTACTAATGTATATAACTTAATCAGCCACCCTGTTGCTACATCTTTGCAGATGGCCACTGCGTGATCAGTGTATTACTTTGAAGGCTTATTTTAACACCCATCTGGGAAGTGCAGCTGAAGGGTGCACACTTAAGTACTGGCATCGCTGACAGAGTCCATTAAAGTCCATTCTTTCCATTAAAGAGTAACTTCAAAATTGTCTTCAATTATTGGATTATATGATGAAGCTGTCTAAAAATATTTTTAAGTATCTCTGTATGAGAAGGAGCAGGGACTTTCCAAAATCACTTTGATCACGCATAACTTCATACCTGGTACAAATTAGCACAGAAGGTAAAAACTGATTGTCATTCTAAGCAATCTCTATCACTGTTCTTGACATACGGTTAACTAAATCAGTAGTTTAATAAAATTCATAACAGGGAAACCATGGAATTTATGGTCTTCACAAAGTACCTCCCACTCATATAGGAGATTTTATGGATTCATGGATTCCCTGAACTCGTGCAGTTGCATTTTTCACTCCACTATGGAACATTTCACCCAGATCCCTGCTTCCGTCATCTCTGTGTGACTGTGCAGTGAGCATTAGCTGGTTGGAATTACTGTTGGAATGATATTGCTCCACATACAGAGCTCCGCTTTATTTATAAAATCAGCACCCACAAGTTTTGGAGTTATCCATTCATCCCTCAGTGGGTTGTCCCTGGTACAAATCTCTATTAAGTATGAGCATTTTTGCCAGCATCTTTGACTAACTCCAAGCATTGTAATTCCTGGATGTCATCCACCCAATCTCACCGGGAGCAAAAAGAATCGAATTGAGCCCTGTGTTTTGCATTTTAAAAAGCCTTGTTTTTCCCTGGTGTGGGTGAGGCCGGTTTTAGGGCAGGCAGCTGGTCTGAGACCTTGGCGCAGCAAAATCTCTCTCTGCTGAGTGTAAGTGTGATGATCACACTACCAGTAGCTGCAAAAAAATGTCACACTTGACTTCTGCATTTCTTAAGGGAACTGAAAAAGAACAGAGCACATTTTTATAACCCCTAGGATCTGACACTTGGGAGAAGAATCTATTAATAAAACAATTTAATGCCTTAAACAGATATATGCACTTTAGAACCCATTAGGGTTTATCATGGCTTTCCTATCATTGAAATCTGTAAGTGTCCATGTGGATGGATACAGGACAGCCTTCTCTTGATGTAATGCTTATTTCTAATGGAGTAAATATTCAAAGTATGTAAGTGGCTATTTCATTTTTTTTTTCTTGCTGGACTTAGCAGTTGTAGTAAGCTGAAAAAAGGCTTTAGCTGCATGTGTTGAGAACAGGCGGGTATGAATTGCACTAATTCTTGTGTATCAAGGCATTCTGTTCAAAATAGTTTCATGTAAGTCCGTTCAGCCTTCAGTATACAAAAAAACTTGTTGAAATGAGTACTGGAATTGATAGCATGTTGTGTTTAAATGTCTGTTTCTTTAGACCGACTAGGGAAAAAGGCTCATGCTCTTTCCTAAAATTGAGAAATTTCAAATCAAATACTGTTTCTCTAAAAAGTGTTAATGACTGTCCTGCTATAAAATGAGAATCATTTCAGTTGCCAGTTTTGTTTAGTACAAGAGTAGAAGCATGTTATGTATGCGCCTTGTTGAGGGTGTGCTGTAATATATACCCTGCAGTATACAGTATATGGCACAACTGAAACGCAAAACTGAACAGACATAAACAAAACAATGGTCGAAAATGCCCAAAATAAGCCCATCAAACTTTTTTTGGGTGGTTGGTATAGAATTCGTCATTGCCCTTTTATGTAAGTCAGGGCAATTAGACCTCCATTCACTTAATGATTCCTGCATGCCTAATGAGTCATTTTCCTCAAGCCTTGTTTCCCTTCCAGAAGTAAATGAAGGGAGCTTTTCTGCATAAGAGGCATGGGCAAGCTTATTCAAAAACTGCTGAATCGGTTACACTGTGCTTCAGTACCCCAGCTAAACTTGTCCCTTGACAGTCCTTGTCCAACTTAAGACTGTGCGCTGTGACATCATTTTTTGTTAGTCTTGGATGTGCCAGCTCGCTCTCGCCCTGAATCCATTTGCCTGTATTTATATTGGTTTGCCCTGAAGGATTTTATCAGCCCAGACCGCTCTGTGCGCTGAGTGATTTGTAATTACGGCTTGCTCTAGCCCTCGCGGTCTGACAGTATTGTGCAGTCTGTAATCAGCACGTCTGTCTGCCCAAGTCACCCCAGGCTCTCTCACTCCCTGTCCAGCACCAGCAGTGTGGCTACAGTACCAAAAGGGGGTGGGGGGTGATGTCATGCACATTTCCTAACTGTGCTTTTTTTTACCTTTTTTAGTTACAGAAAACACACGGAGGAGTTTACTTTAGTGAGGCGAGCTTTCCTGCTGTTTGATCATTTGAACAACGCTTTTTCAAAGCTTGTTGGTTACACTCAAAAAGAAAGCCATGCTAGCTGCCTGACAGCGGATGTTTCGTTGGCCCTTCTGTGATGAAACACTGGTGAAACACAGAGTGACGGAATCAGATGGGCTTTTTGTCTACAGTGTGTTCACAGAGGGAAGCCAGGTCAGGCGTGTGAGGGACACAATACTAAGCACAGCAGCTAACTGGTAGCTTGGTCTTGTGCTAAGCAGGGAAATGCCCGTGGAGATAACAGGACTATTTAGCCAAGTTTGTAGGGGTAATCTGAATAAAGTAGGCTTTGAATATGTATATCTGCATGTATAAATTAAACTCAACATAAATATTAGAGCTCAAACAATGTTTAATTCCATTCTAATATCTCTATCATTAATCTATGTACTAATTTATATGCTACAGAGATCCATAAATTTCTCATAAAACTGGAAACCTCTGAAATGTTTATACTGTAAAAATATACATTGTAAATATACAAAAATAAATCTGTCTCAAGATTTCATTAATACATAAGGTAATATTTGACATCGATGTCTTGTACCCAATGGCGTGGTGTGTGTGCACTTAAAATCTATGGTGTCTGTTTTCAATTTAGCACTTGAAGTTCTCCTGACTTTCAATAGCTGCATGGTTCTGTGCTCCTGTGTCCTGTGGCATCATCACATGTGAACTGCATCAGTGCGGTTTGACAGACCATAATTTTCCTATTTTTTAATGATAATCAAATGAAAACTGCAGAAGTGGCAGCGGTGTGTTCCTGGGTTTGCACGCTGCTATAATAGTACATGTTGGCGAATGTCTCGGCTCTAAGCGTTGCAAAACGCGTCCGACGTGATGTCATATTATCCACACCTTGCCTCACCCATCCTGTGCTGTGATGGTCTGCTCTTGAGGGATTGAAACACTTAGTTCAGCTTAAATGTCATCAGTCTTCGGCCGCTTTTTTCTTGGGGAAATTCCCTGAAAGTGCCCTAACCTGTAAAGGTGGCTAAAATTCAAGTTTGTTTGACAGTGTTTCATATGTGGGCTCTTCTTTTATCATCATCAATAATAGTTTGTTTGGCTAATATTTTTATTTAATATGACTTAATTTTGTACCCATTTATACACCAAGGAATTTTTATTGGAGCAATCTGAGTAGAGTACCTTGCTCAATGGTAAACCAGCAGTACCCCACCTAGACTTTGGAACCCACAGCCTCTCCATGACAAATCCAGAGCCCTAACCACTATTCCTCAATGCGGCCTGTCTGTTTATGGGATAAGTAAGGCAGTTCAACTCTGTTTGGCTTCTTCCTCCCCCCAGCACTTGAGACGGACTCAGCAGCTACAAGATGTGGCCTCTTGCAGAAGTTTGACATGTGTCAGAGGTTTATTTATCAAAGCCATCGCGTATCGGGTGTGCAGGTCATCGCCGAGTCAGAAATCGGCCAAAAACATCTCCAGGTTGTTCAGATTTCAGTAACACTGTACTTATCACAAATGCGCATAGTGATCGACTTCCCAGATACAGTAAGGCTGTCCTGAGAACAGTTGCCTGCCTGCCTTGTAATGTGTTCACATTCGCCCTGTATGGGCTTGTAAACCAGACTGAGTCCCTGGGCAGGATGGGGCTGTTGGCATTTGGGAGAATTCACTGCGAAAAACAGCAGGAAAACATGCAGGTGAGAGGGATTGTAGAGTGACCAGAATCGGCATTGAGACTCTTGTTTGCAGGCAGGCTTCTAGTTTTATAAAGCCTCCTATACAAGAGTTGACTGTAAAAGTGCCAGTTACTCATGAAGGTGGTCGCGCACACCGACCCCTCCACCCCCCACCCGAAAAAGAAGAAACTCAGAAAAAAAACCTTTTATTTTTTCTCTCTTACAAACGTTGACTTTCTCTAGTTCAGGCTGGGTAAAGGCAGGGTTCAGTTTTTTTTTCCTTCCATGCCTGTGTGAATAAAGGTGCTTTTGTCAGGATGAATAAAAACATTCATGTGAGGAGGGTTTGGGGGGGG